TATCTTTTTTTTTTTTTTAAGATTTATTTATTTATACAAGCACTGGGTACAGTCAGAAGCGCAGGAGGGTGAGAGAATTCACCAGAGCCAGAGCAGGGAGCAGAGCAGGCAGAAGGACGGAATTACACTGCTGAGGGAAGCAGCGGGCAGTGGGAGAGGTCTGCGCGCCATGTGGAACCCTCCTCTGGTGGCCGGGGAGCGAACTGGCGTTGCAGAGGCTGTGGGCAGCTTCGCAACCCAGCGCTCAACCACTGCGCCACCTGGGAGGCCCAGAAGGGCCCTATCTTAACATAATAAAGACCATATATTGCAAACCCATGTACAACATTATATTTAATGGTAAAAAATGGAAACTTCCCCCAAATTTCAGAAACAAGGATGCCCACTGTCACAACTTCCATTTACTCTATTATTATAGGTTTTAGCTATAGTAATTTAGATAAGAAATTAAAAAATGAAGATTAGAAAATAGTAAACCTATCATTATTTGCAAATTATATAGTTTATATATAGAAAACCTTAAAGACTCCATTAAAAACTATTTGAAGCAACAAATGAATATAATAAAGTTGTAGGTTACAAAATTAATATATAAAAACTGTTGCACTATGTGTGTTTTGGTGGTAGTAGAGTTATGATGACCACACCTGCAGGGAAAAACATTATATTGTCAAAATATTAACAAAAATGTAAAACAATGGTATCTCACTAATAAAAAATAAATTGAACAAAACAAAAATATGTTGCATTTTTATATACAGGTAAGTGAGAAGAAAAAGAAATTAACAAAACAATCACACTTATATTTTATCAAAAAGAGTTAAATACCTAGGAATTAACCTAACTAAGGAAGTGAAGGACATATAAAATGAAAATAAAGACACTATTAAAGGATATAGAAAAAAAAAAGAGATGGAAAGTCCATGTTCATGGACAGGGAGAATTAATAGATTCAAAATAATTATTCTACCAAAAAATGATAGATGCAATCACCATTAAAATTCTAATGATATTCTTCTAAGAATTAGAACAAAAAAACCACTAAAATATATATGCAACTATAAAAGACCCCAAATAGCTGAAGAAAAAAGGAAAAGGGAGGCACCATGACACTAAACTACTGTATAAAGCAACCATAATTAAAACGATATGGTATTATAATAAAAGTAGACACATGGATCAATGGAACAGAACTGCAAGTCCAGAAATAAATCCTTGCATATATCAATGCCTGATTTATGACAAAAGTTTACCCAAGTCAGTTTCAGACTCTTAGCAACTGGGTAAACATAGAAAAACAAATAAATGTGGAGGGTGAGAGGCCCTGGCACCTGTGAACATTGACTTAAGCTGGTTCTCTGGGGTCTTCTGCTGCTTTCAGGGTTTTCTCAGAGGATTTTCTGTACAGAGTCATTCCCCTGAAGAAAATCTCCATAAAATACTTCAGAACCAAGGTATTACATGCTTAATGAGCATCACTCCTCAAAATACACATGGAAGAATGTAAGGAATTTCTTGAATGTCTTGATTTGTATTCAGCAGAACTAAGTATATTCTGTGAAAATGAAATCTTGCAAATCTAAGCCAGAAAGGATAGTTAACATGTTTCCTGAAGTGTGAGCATACATTTTAAATGCTCATTAAAAAAATACATACACTTTATGAAAAAATGCCATTGACCAAAATTAATGCAGACAAGGCAATAAAATGACAAATGAAACTATTTCCAGAGATGAAAGAAAACCAAGTATCCTCAAAGATGACTGTAGGTATTGGAAGACCACCGCACTCGAGTCCTTGAGGACAGTATGCCTCAGAGTGGTTTTGGGTTTTCTCAAGGAGATCAGACTCAGGAGAAGTTCTATTTCTTCAAGGATAAAATTATTACAAAACAGGGTAAAACACGGCGCTTACTCCAGAGTGAACCTATGCAAACAAACAAAAAACAAACTCCAACAAATTAATGAAAAAAAAATGTATTTACCACAGCTAGAAAACACACACCCCTTTTGCTAGCAACTGGTAAGATTTGGTATTTACTGGAATCACATGCTGAGGGACCAGTATCTGGAAAGAGCCCTGGGGAACTTTAATATACACAGGGTTTCAGTACCAACTGGGACCTCACTTTCCTTAAATGGTCTGCCCAAGGTCACATTAGAATAGAGCCAGCACTCAGGACACACAACGGATTCTGCACCTTGTCCAGCACTGCTCATACTTCCATCTCAGGATGCCTAGAAGATTCTGGTGTTCAAAATGACATAAATTTTATTATATTTTGATGTTGCTTTAAGCTTTTCTTTTCCCCCCCTTCCAAAACATGTATCAAGGAAAGCTTCCTTATGCTTCATTTTAATGATATCTTCAATATCATAATATAGGTTCTTTCAGGGCATATATAAAGATTGCCTACTTGTACATGTAAATATGGCGTGCAGATTATGAGACTGACATTGAGGGAAAATATATCTTAAAATTACTACTGCCAGGGCTTCCCTGGTGGTGCAGGTCGCTGTGAAGCTGTCTGCAGCCTCTGCAGTGCTGGTTCGATCCCTGCCGGCCACGGAGCAACCCATGTGGTGTGGCAGACCTCTCCTGTCTTGCCCATGCTCCCCTCAGCAGTGTATTTCATCAGTCTGCCTGTTCTGTTCCCCGCTCTGGCTCTGGTGAATCCTCTCACCCTCCCGCACATCTGGCCTGTACCCCAGTTCTTGTATAAATAAATCTTAAAAAAAATAAAAAAAATTACTACTGCCAGCATAGCAGACAATCTCAACACCAGGATGACAAATCAGCAGTGGAAATACTAGCAGCTCTTCTAGATGCACAGCACAGGGTTTGAGAGCTCAGAGAAGCAACAGGGCAGGTGTTCTGTTTGCCTTTTTTACCAATTGCCTTTAGATGACCCAATATGGAGGCAAGCACTGCAAATCAGGGGATAACTGTACTTTAACATATTAACAACATGTTTTTGCCCCTGCATTTCTTTTTTTTTAAGATTCATTTGTTTATGCATACAAGAACTGGGGTACAGGCCAGAGGTGCTAGGGATGAGAGGATTCACCTGAGACAGAGTGGGGAGCAGAACAGGCAAATCTATTGAAACACACTGCTGAGGGGAGCAGTGGGCAAGACAGGAGATGTCTGTTCCATCATGTAGCTTAGCTCCCTGGTGGTCTAGGGATCTAACTCGTGCTGTGCTGCAGTGGCTGCGGATAGCTTCACAGTGCAGCAACTTAACTCCTGTGCCACCAGAGAGGCCCAGCCCCTGCAATTTTTGTATTAAATGTTCATCTCACATGGAAAAGCATCTCCATTTTTACAGTTCAAAGTTCTCACTCTTTTCGTATTTCACATCCAAGTTATTAAGTGATTGCTCAACTCTGTGCAGCTCCTAAAGACAGAAGCCTGTCACTAAAAAGACAGAAGGGGAGGTTCAGTCAGGTGAGGTTAGCTTTTAGGGGGAAACTCACAAAGTGATTTTATAAAGTGATTTATCTTCCCCTATGGGAAACTTTGTAAATTAAGTTATGAATGACACAACTTAGAAAATTCTATTTATGAAGTGTCTCATTTGCTTTATTTATTTTTTAAGATTTATTTATTTTTTTTTTTATTTTTTTTTTTTTTTTTTTTTTTTTTATAAATTTTATTGTTATATTCCCCATACAATTGCCGCCCCCCATTCTGACCCCAATCCCTCCCCTCCCGCCCCTGCCCCCCTAAAAGTGTCTCTGGTTCATAGTTTTTTGTTGATTTTGATTTTCACTTTCTTATAGTTTTTCATTTTCCTGGTCCATTATTTAAGTTTTCTAGATTCCTGCTATGAGTGAGACCATCCGGTATTTTTCTTTTTCTTTTTGGCTTATTTCGCTGAGCATGATCCCTTCCAGCGCCATCCATGTTGCAGCAAATTGCATGTGTTTATCTTTTTTGAATGCTGAGTAATATTCCATGGTATATATGTACCACATCTTCTTGATAGTCATCTATTTTTGGGCATTTGGGTTGTTTCTAAAGCTTAGCTATTGTAAACAGTGCTGCTATAAACATAGGGGTGCAGGTGTTCTTTGGAATTGATGTTTCTGTGTCCTTTGGGTAAATACCTAGGAGTGGAATTGCTGGGTCATATGGAAGCTCTATGTTTAGTAGGTCCAGAAATCTCCACACAGCTTTCCACAGTGGTTGGACCAGTTTGCACTCCCACCAACAGTGCAGAAGAGTTCCTTTTTCTCCACACCCTCGCCAACATTTGTTGTTGCTAGTTTTTTTAATATGTGCCATTCTCACTGGTGTAAGATGGTATAAGATTTATTTATTTATGCATACAAGAGCTGGGCTACAGGCCAGAGGCGTGGTGGGTGAGAGGACCCACCAGAGACAGAGTGGGGAACAGAGCAGGCAGACTGAAACACACTACTGAGGGAAGAAGGGGGCGAGCCAGGAGAGGTCCGCTGTGCCATGATGGTGGCTCCCTGGCCGGGGATTGACCTTATGCTGCAGTGGCTGTGGATACTCATTTGCTTTATGAAGTGATTTTTCTGTCAGTTATTCTATCAGGCTAATTATTCTATCAGACTGGGCCCTGCAATCTCCCTGAGCTCTGTCCTGCTTGCTCAGGGGTCACTTCCTGAGTGACCCTGCTTGTGGGTCACTTCCCTTAGCTGGAATAACATTTTTTTCATTTATATTACCAATCTTAGCCTATTTATTTCAGTTGTTCCAAATTGTGAATATGGCTTATAATGTACAATGTGTTCCAGACACACACACACAACACACAGTTGGAACAGTTAAGAAGACAAATATTAGATGATTTTCCTACTCTAGACAAAACTCACAAACTCCTGAGTGCAGAGAAGTGCTCCTGAGTAGTAACACAAGAAGGTGCTCCCTGGGTACAGCGGGCACTGGGACAGTCTCCTTAGGTCCTTGCAAAGTCTAAGGCACCAACGGTCCCCTGGCACATCACTCTCCACCAGGCAGAATGTGCACTGACTCAAAGGTCTTTCAGATGCAGTACTGGCAGCTGGCGCACCCTTCTATGTGAAAGATGTGCAGGATAAAGACTGGGAGAGAGTAGGTGCTAGTCCTGAGATCACAGGGAGGCATTAAAGTGAAGCACAAGGAAGCCTGCCTTGATACATGAATTGGAAGGGGAAAAAAAGAGAAACTTAAAGCAACAAAATATGCTAAAACATTCCTTTAGTTGTCATATTATTTTCACATAAACAGAATTCAGAGAAAAATTATTTGCTGATCTCTGGTCAAATTTGTTGTATTCATTGAGCATTTGTTGATGACCTATTTCAGCTTAACACTTTAACAATACCCACAAACCCTCGGACCGACTCGACCCATTTCAGAGTGTGCTGAACATGCATTTACTTTGTAGCCAGGACTTGTAGGTGCAACATGAGTGATCCAGGCTCTCAAAGTCATCAAGGGGAAACCCTTGTCCTGGATTCTGGTGACACATGCAGAGTGTCAATGGGAGTCAGGGTCAGGCAGTCCCTCAACAACCAGGGAGGGAGGGGGCATGTGCAATTGTCAGGGTAGCATCTGAGGCTTGGGAGGAGGAACCTGTCCTCAGTCAGGACAGGGTTTGCTGACCTCAATCCAGCACTTTCTGCTGCTGCAGTCTACAGGCCTCCAGGGGGTGGTGTTGGGGGAGGGTACAGAGGGAACAATACAAAGCAGCAGCCATGGCAGAAGTCAGCTCTTCCAGACAGTTCTACAAAAGATCAAACTCATAACTGCTGTCCTCTTGGCCCTGCTCTAACCAAGGAACAACTATCTCCATGTCTTTTCCCTTTATGTTTCCCTTTAAGGCTGCTCTTGTCATAGATTCCTAGGATTACCTGCAATGCTAGGATTTATCTATCTGCTCCCAAGGCTCTTAATCCATCTTGCTCTGGTCCTACTCTGGCTTCAGATTAGTCTCTTGATCTTGTTCTACAGCCACATGTGCCTTGCAAAGTGATGACCTGGGAGCCACCTGCAGGCAAGACTGCTACATGGAACCCTGCAAGATGAGAAACTGATAAGTATTGTCTAGTTCCCCAAAACCAGGGAGGAATATAGATTACATCAAATAGAGGGTAGGGTGCTGTGTATAAAATTAATCCAGATTTTAGAACAGAGTGTCACTCTATATAGTGCTATCCAATAGAACTTTGAAATTGATGGAAATACCTGCACTTTACCTGCACTGTCCAATATGAGGGGCACTGACCACGTGAAGTATAAGTACTTGGTGCAATTGAGGAAATAAGCTTTAAGTTTAACATAACTTTAATTCATTTAGCTTCAAATAGCCACATGGGGTTAATGGCTCACATGATAGACAGCAACAGCCTTGAATCTACAATTCACCAGGTCATGTGGGAAGACTTTTTGCCAGCCTGTGGACAAGGGAGAAGTACAGGCTGACACTGTAGTTAAATAAAGTCGGAACTGATGGATGGCCATCAGTGGTGATGAATGGACTAGTGAGAATGGGAAAGGGATCTTGAGTGGGGTGCTGAAAAATTCTGTGTGCATCTTGATCCAAACTAGCATCTTCTTTTCCCCTACCCCATGGTCAACAGCTCTTAATGTCAGCTAAGCAAATAAACTTCTAGAGACTCAGCCATTCTAGAACAGAGAATCAGAATCCCAAAAGATTCTGAAAGGGCAGGCCACAGCTACTGGCAAAAGAAGATGTGCTGGAGTGGACAAATGCATGACTTTACAATCCAGCTATGCCAGGATGGCACCTGGAGGTGGCATAGCAGGGGTGCACATCAGCATTCTCGAAACTCATGGCCTGTCCACAGGGCAATCTGCATGACTGAAAACTGAATGAGAATTCAGACTGGTTGACAAGAGCAGGACAGGGGCAGATCAAACCTGAAGTCAGGAAGATGTGAGGAGAAGGGGCCAATGCCAGGTGTCAAGGAGGGGACCAAGAGCAACTTTACCTGGAGAGGAGGGAAGGGATGAGTATTTATTCATGTTCAAACACCATCACATGGAAGCCTCATTTAGTGATTCATGACCTACAGGTAAAAATCAGAGCAGAGATGGAAGTTCTGGCTCAACAGAGGTAGAACAACTAATGATCTGAAAGCTCTGGGTGTGGGCAGGTGGTCTCTGGAGGAACAGTGTACCTTTACTGTGGGTGGATGAGGGGCAGGACACTGGTCTGGGAGTGTGGGAAACCCAAGGCTTTGAGGGTGGCAGAAGTATCAGTTGTCCGCTAAGCCCCACAGACTGTCCCTCAAGTATTGTGGCTCTGCACATGATATGCTGTCTTCCTGCAGGAGTCAAAAGGGGGCAGGGTTGGGGGCTACATACACAGTGGACATTAGATCCTTACAACCAAAGGAGACCAGACCTCCCAAAGACAGGTTCCTGGACTATGTGCCTCCCAGGGCTTTGCCTAGCCACCCCATTCAGATCAGAAAAGGAAACAGCTTCCTTTAGATGGCAAATCCATCAGTAACTAAACCAAGGGGAAGTGGAGGCAGGGCATCTCAGCACTTTCCTCCCAAGAGGAATAATTCTCTGTAGAATCCCTTTCTATTGTCAGTCATTAGCTGGGAGTGGGCACTATACACAGCTGTTAGAGGTGGAGGGTGTGGAAGTTAACCATGAAGGGATTCTGAGGCTACCAATGTGGGAGAGGACAGGTATTGGGGCTCAGCTGGGGCTTGCTGAGGACATTCCAGTGCAGTAGCTTGGTGAGAGTAACCTGGGTTACCATATAGGCTAACTGCTCTATATTTGTTGCTATTGATAGCAAATTATGAATACAGAAGAGAAAAAGTTAAGAGTGGGTTGGAATTCTGTGCCCTAAAACTTTCTCAATTCTTAAACTTCAGAAAAGATACCTGTCTAGTCACTGACTATCCTCACTAGAATTATTCATATATATACTTCTGCCTTCTTAAGAGGAAAAAATAAGGCCCAGAAAATACTATACTTTTTCATTAAGCTGATGACAAAAACAATAGCATTTCAGATGAATTGCTAGTCAATGTGACCCACATATTGGATTTGAAACACTGAAGTTTTCAGAGTGTTTGTGAAAGGCTGAAGACAGATAGCAAATTCTGTTGACTTAGGGCTTTAATATGCAAACCTTCCTAAAGAGCTGAGATCTACAGCTGTGGATTCTGTGGCTTGTTTGGGGTAGCAGGCGACACACTTACAGCGGGAAACAGTTGAGCAGAGTGCCATTACTTTGATTTATTGCATTGTGAAGTACCACGGGGAGGGCCTGAGAACAAGTCCGCTTTATCAGCAGTTCTAAAGCCTTAATACCTGAGATTTGCATTCGGTGGTGGAGTGGGGAGTGGGGTGTGTGGGGTAATCAAGATTGCATTGTCAATACATATGTCATCTGAGATTTGGGTTTTGGCCCTGATAGAAGAATTGTACTAACCTGAAAAAGGCTGTGTGTGATTACAGAGAGAAACCAGCTAAACACCAAATCCCGGTGAAAGATGTGCAATTAACCAGAGAGTCACATACGTTAGCAAAACACCTTCCTTTGGGGTGGAGAGGAACGCATGTGTGACAGAGTGCAGGCTACTCAAGGCACTTCCTGCCCAGGAGCTGCCAGCTTTAGCATGCCTGGGAAGCCCAGTCCTTGAGTCTGTTCTCTTCATTGTCTGCTCCCAGTCACTTCTCATCATCTCGCCCATAGTTAATAGTTTGTAAGGCTTGAGCTATGAGTGTGGCCATTTCCCGGGTGCCTGCAGCAACCACTCTGCAGGACATGAGGTCGAAGGGTCCACCTGGGGACAAAGAGGGAGAAAAGAGCTGAATAATTTGGAACAACCACCCAGCACATGCACATTCCGAGGGAAATAGCTCTGGGCCCTGCTCCAGACCAGCCCAGACTGTGGTCTAGACACAGGGCTGGTCAGAAAGGGTGGAGGCGTGTCAGCAACCTCTGCCCTGTATGCATGCAGCCAGGGCCAGAGAGCAGCAACACCACAGAGGCCTCACTGGGGGAACAGAGTGTATGCTTTAACACTCAGAACTAAGATCCAAAAGATCAGTGAGATCAGCACGGGGGATCAAAATTTGCCACCTCTTTCACATAAAGATTATTTGGGGCTGATTGTTTTTAAGAAATAGTAGACTCAAGGAGTTTTTCTTTACCTCTTCTTTAACTACCTAAAAGAATTTAGACAGAGGGCTTGTTCCAGAAAGGGAGCATCTGTCACGGGTGATAACTATCAAGAATATGAGCTAGAATATGGCTGGAAAATATGTGCAAGGGCTGTGTTCAAAGTTCTTCTGTGTCCCTTTGTCTTTGCATGACACAGAAAACATTTGTTTTCCTCCTCTTCCTATAAATTATCTTTCCCCCTTTGAAGTTCCAGATACTTACTCTCCTTCTCCTTAGCTCACGATGACATGTAAACCCCAAGGGTTGACTGTGGAGGAGTCTCATGTCTTTGTGGGGTTCCCATAAGGGAAAAATAAATTTTTCTCCTGATAACCTGACTTTTGTCAATTTAATTATTACAAGAACCAAAAGAACCATGAAAGGCAGAGGGAAAATTTTTCTTCCCCACCACCAGAAGATAGGACAGTTCTCAGGTGCAAGTGTGGTGCCCAGCACTCATGGGATAGAGCCCCTAACTCAGCAGGTTGGGGTGGCGTCTGGTAGTATCACTGTCTAGTTTTTGCCGTTGTGCCCCTGGGGATGGAGGGCAGGCCGAGGGTCTCACCTGAAGTGTCTATAACAATGCCACCTGCTTCTCTGATGATGACCGTGGCTGCAGCCAGGTCCCAGCAGTGCAGGCCAAATTGGTAATAGGCATCTGCGGCCCCTGAGGCCAGGTGGCAGAGTGCCAGGGTGGAGCTGCCAATCACTCGGACCCTGGGGCAAAAAAAGAGAATCACATAGATGAGCAGACTGAACACGGGTTGGATTTTTTAAATGGTAGATACACTGACATCAGCAAAGATCACCTATTTTCTGGGCATTCCCAGTAATTAAAAGTGAGCCACAGGGCTCTAACAATAAGCCCCAGATGCAATATGTAGGGTCTGGAGCAATGACCCTCTCACAATGGGGAAAATGTCTATATAGTGGCAGCCACTGGCCATCTGTGACCAATGCGCACTTGAAACTAGCCAGTAAGCCTCAGAACTCCATGGAGTACAACTATGTTAAATTTAAAGTGCCCCATGGACTAGCAGTTTAATAGCACAGGTCTAGATGGGGGATGGCAAAGAAAATTTACTTGGACTTGGTTGAACTGTTCCTAAATGCTTATCAGAAGAATGTCATTTATGAAGGCTCTGTGCACACACAGGACTTGACGATGGCTTGAGATCAGTTACTTGGCTTCTTACATGTTGATCAGAAAGGAACAAAGGTCCCCTTCCCATGTTCAAATGCTGGTTGCAGGAGCTGTCCTGAGCAATGACAGTGCATGAGGCCTCTCAGGCCTCAGTGGGGATTGCATGTGCCCTCTGGCCCTATCACGTGAGGATCTTTTTCCCTTTCAGTCCCTGAGAGAGGCTAGCAAGTTGGCACTTGGTACTTTCCCCCTTTGCCCCAGGGTTTTCCAGGAACTAAAAGTTCATACCCATGAGCTTTGGCGTGAAGTAACCTCTCCATGTTGCTCAGGAACAATTTCAGAGTAGCAGGGTCACGTTTGGGGCCAATTTCTGTTAGAACCAAGGCCTTTGAGAGATCTGCAAGAGAAAGAATTCCCCCAAATCAGAAAACCCAAGTCTTGGTTCTAGCCGAATAGCTGGGATCTTCTCTGAAACAAACTTCAAATATCAGCCTCTTATGACCTTTCAAGTAGTTTACACTAGGAAGTTTTCCTGATAGCTATGCTGAAAAAGTCAGGTGATGGTGAAGAGAAAAAAATGCATACCCTCACTCTATTTCATCATTATTCCTTTAAAGCCAGCTGCTTCAGACTGCAGCTGACATCAATTTTTATTCTTTCTGTCCAGGGATACATATTATACAGGTAGCAGGAAGAACATGGAAGAATTTGGTGACTTATGAAAATCACCATCATTCAATCACAAATAAATAAAATGATGCCAAACTGGAAACATGTGTTTGGGGGTTGGGGTGGGGGCTGCCTCGCCCAATAAATCTGGCTTTAGAACCTCTCCCTCCGTGATCACAAAGATGGAAATACCTACGTTCTGGAGAGAGCAACTTTTAAATAACACTGTCTTTGGAAAAGAAGGCCTCACAGCATAAAGAAGGCAACAGGGCATGGTAACTGATTGCATGGCCCCCTCTGCTCGGGGGATGGGCTGCCCTAGCCAAGCACACAGTTCTACTAGGAGAGGTGGGCTACCAAGCAAGGGGTGGGCTGTGGTGTGGGGGACATGGCTGGTCTCCTTTCTGTGCTGACTCAGTGGTGGGGGTCATAAAGGTCTCTTTTGTCACACACACAAACACAACCACGCACACAGGGTCACACACGTTTGTCAGCTGCTCAGGCACAAGGTGCCTCACAGGGTGTGTTCAGGCCACAGAAAGAAGCTACCCCACGAAGAGGGAAAACACACTATCATGTTACTCAACGGACCTGACACCATCTCATCTCTCACCAAAGGACCCAATGATTGTCCTTCCTCAGGACCTACACCCACATTCTCCTTATGTCAGAGGCTGTCATTTTATAAACACTTTCTGAAAACTACCTGGCTCGCCAACCAACGCTCCCTGATTTTGAAGCCTGAGTCATTCCTTGCCAGGCAACCCAACACCAAAGTTAGAGTAGCATGAGTCCCATGTGGCGTGGGGGCTCAGGTTCTACCAGAGGGTGCACAGGCTGGTGGTGTTTCCAGGGTCTTGCAGACAGGATCAGTCAGTCTGCCATAGCCACCCACTTACCCAACCCTCAATGGGTCACACACTGAGAAGGTATTTTCCCGGGGCAGGGGGAAGACTTCTAGGCATCTACAGGGCAGGGAAAGTAGGCACTGCAGAAATAGTTACTGAATGAATCAACATTTTCCCTCAAATACCAGCATTTAAGGAGACACTGATAAGAATGTTCTTGTTTATTAAATTAGTAGTACTTTAAGATTTGTGGAAGGAATGTTGGGCTTAATCAGAGTTTTGTTGGCTAGTTACTGTTGTTGTACAACACTATTTGGGGGTAGGAATAAATTGAGAATTAGAGATATTTTAAAAATCATAAATATTTTACTAAAAATGTTCTTTTGACCGATAACATTATGATATGGGGAGTGCTATTACATTAAAATTTAAAAAACAAATTGAATGTTGTACATGCAGCTTTACTCAGGGAAAACGAGGAAGAAGGATGAGCTGTCCCAGAGAAGGCCAAGGCGGAAAAGGGAAGTGAAGTAGCAGGGCATCTTGCCTAGCCCCACCCTACTTCTAATTTCCTTATCTAACACCCATGTGCACAACAAATATTGTATTTGAATTATTCTGTATGTTAATTTTTTTTACTTGCTTTTTTGCTGTAACAATACATGCTGTACGCCACTACTCTGCATCTGTAATGGCTGCACGCAATTCCACTGCACTTCAGTCGGCTTACTCACTCCCCATAGGCAAACATTTCCAATTCTTGTTATAATAAACATTATTTTTTTTCTATGTAGGTTTGTAAATAGTATAGTATCATGTTGATATTAAAATAGTATAATGTTGATACTATTTTCAGGGTAGACTAATCAAAGAGGGGTTTCTGAATCAGTGCACATAGACTTTGAAATTTTTTCCCAAATTGCCCTCCAAAATAGCTGTATTTTACACACACACACACACACACAGCCTACTAGTGTGTTGTCCTGTACTATTTCCAAGTGCTAACAGGAATCCCTTACTCCAGGATAGATATTGCAAAAGTGATTTTCTCTGACAACTAAGATGGAAGAGAATAAACCTTACATACAGAGCATTTTTTGGATCCAGGCTCCCAGTCACCCTGGGAAGATATTAAGGACAACAAATAAGTCTTCTTCCCCGGTGAGTGGAAAGTGAGTACATCAATTTCTATAAGGAGGTAGACGCCTGTTTTTAATCAGGTTCACAAGATGTACTCACTCTCAGGCTTGTGCTGAGTCCAGTAGGTTCTGTTGGAGGTGGGGCTGACTGCAGGATGAGTGCAGGGCAAAGTCCCTGTAGTGCCCGCCTGGAGGGCAGATAGCCCTAAGTGCAGCACTTGTTCAGGAAGAGCATGGATTTCAAACCATGTGCTATAGGGCTGTTTCACAAAGTGAGAGTAAGGGTAGGTATCACAACTACTCACATTTACCAATCCCTTAGTGTCTCCAGACAAGCGAAGTGCTTTCCCTGTATTCCTCTGTCAGACTTTCCTCTATTACATTCACAACCACTGTCCTTGTTCCCCAGATTGAGAAACCAAACTCAGTTGAGTTTAGAGACCTATCAAGGTCATGCAGACCTTAAGTGCTGAGGCTCAGACTTAAGCTCTTCTGGTAATTATTTGAAAGAGGATTTCTTGCCATAGTTTTTACATTTGTATCCTGGACCTTCTTTTAGCTGAAAAGTATCCACTCTTTCTCATTGTCCCTAATGCAGTTTTCCCCAAAAGAAAGAGTAAAAATGATGTTTCAGCACTGCCATCTACAGGCAAAATTCCTACTTTTTTCCGGTTTCTCTCAGATAAAAAAGGTCAAAACTATAAAATGTCCTCTATTAATGTCTTATGATTTTTCATTTTATTACCTTTTATTATAGCTTACAGTTCTTAATAAAATTCTGTTTCTTTTAATGAAAATATCTTGTGACTTCATGGTTATGTGTGGAGAGAGCAGTTATTGTTTAATAAGTAGTTTCTGTTTGGAGTGATAAAACCTTGGAAAACAGATGGTGGTGATGGATTCACAACACCGTGAATGTAGTTAATAATTAATGTCACTGATTTGTACACTTAAACATGGCTGAAATGGTAAATTTTATGTTATATAATTCTTTTCACCAAAATAAAAAAATTCTGATACATTTTGAAGTAGGGCATCTCTGTATACATTACATGCACACATCAGGATATTGCAGGTTAAATTCCAGGCCACTGCAATAAAGCTAATAATGCAATAAATTAAGCCACATAAATTTCTTGCTTTCCCAGATCATATAAAAGTTGTGTTTACAATATAACATAGTTTATTAAGTGTACAACAGCACTAAACTACTAGAAAAACAACACACATACCTTAATTAAAAATACGTTATTGCTAAAAATGCTAACCATCAGCTGAGTCTTCAGCAAGTTGTAATATTTTTGCTGGTGGAGGGCCTTGTGAAAAACAGTCTCTACAAAGCCCAACAAAGCAAAGATAATAAAACAAAGTATACCACATACTCTTTCAATGAACAGATTTTAGGGTGAAAAAAACCTGACCTGTGATTTCTAACAGTTTGAAATCCTCATAAATAAAAAAAACCTAATAAATAAATGGCTAACTTACGTTATTTGACTTTCACATCAATAAATTATTTAAAAAAAATCTAGGGGGAAAAGCAATGTTGAGAATTCTGTGAAATACTGAATTGGAAAACAATAGAACAGCTGATTTGTTTTTAACCTCTCCAAATCCCCTCTGATAAAAAACAGACAGAGAAACTAGGAGCAAGACACAAAAACAAAACATAAATTGTAGATGACATGTACAAAATAGCCCACATCCCTGTTTCTCCAAACCCTAAACACAATTGGGTGTGGCAAAAATTTCAATGGGCCACAAGACCACGCAGCACTGGGAGAAGGCATGGGGCATGGGGTATCCAGAGGATCTGAAAACAGAACCTCCAAGTCACCAGCCAACATGCACAGGAGGTCAGCTTGGACCAGGACTGGGAGCACATGCACATTCACATGGGCACGAGGTATGTGGTAACCCGACCAGCGTATGACTGACTGACCAGAACTTCTTATGGTGGGAATTTACAGGAGTGAATTCCAAATGCAGAACAGACAGGAATAACAGGGACACAGTGAAGAGAAGATTGGGCAACAGTGAAAGAGGGGAACAAGTCCCCCCAAAAAAAAAAAAAAAATCTTAGGGTCAACTTTTTGAACACTTCACAAAAACAACAGAAGAGGGAGCACTAGAGATGAAACTACAAAACTGTCCTGAATATTCATTCCCCCAATGGGTCAGACACCCTGCCTCCAAAGTGCAGAATGCAGACTTCAAGTAAAAATTAGGAATTAAAAAGAGCCATGGTTTAATCCAATGCATAATTATCATAAGAAAAAGAAGAATCAGGAGCAGAATAATATTTTTACAGTCAAAGAATATTAGAGAAATTTATCAACAAACCAGAGTAGCTTTATGTGAAAGAAATAACAAATAAAGGACAGCATAACTCAGATGCAGAGATGACAGAAATTAGGAAAGAATTAGAAAACACTTCAGGAAAGAAGACTGATGTAAAGGAATACAGAATAAATAAACACAACAGATTTATACCTTACAAGAAATGAAGGGTGACAGGAATTTTTTAATGAAAAAAACTGGTGGAAAAGGTAAAAAGGATTTAAGAAAAACTAACATATAGGCAGGTTAAGGTCAGCAAGGTAAGCAGAGAAGACCCAAAATACACATGATAGGAGACTTTGAAGACAAAGAGTGAAACAACAGCATTTGGAAAGGAATAAATACTAAAAAGTTTAATTCAAGAAAACTTCTGAAATTAAAAAAAAAGTTGAAATTATATA